CTCTGGGTTTAATGTAGCAGTTTAGAGGTTAGAAAAGACTCTTCAAGTTTGTTCGGTTGATTGGTTGCAACATGGACAAAAAGGTGGCCTCAATTAAACAAAGTTGAATTGCAGACTTGCTTTGGTATATTGTAGAGGAAGGGACTCAAAGGCTTAGGGAATAAGTAATGTCAGAATCAGTTTGTCATTTAAGATCTGCTTGCACAGCCAGGCAGGATCCAGAGGATATGCCTTTCACTACTACAACGAGAAATAGCTTTCTGAGGGGAACCCAAGCTCCCCTGAAGACGTCTATGACTGCTCTTCTATGTCAGTCCAAAATTACAGTGGGAACTGCTGCCACTAGGTTGGGAAAGGTAAGTGCATGTGGGATAACTGGATCCCTGGTTGCCAGGGTCAAGGAGAAGCACCCAGTCTCCAAAGGTCATTTGGGTGTGTACACTGTGTAAGACAATAAAGTCAAAGTAGCAACCAGAATGGAAAGCCTACTACTTTGTTTCTGAATCCGTATAAGCAGAAAAGTTCTAGGTCAAGTGAACAAAAATTTCAGTGTAAACTGAAAGTCATGATCCCTCAGAATAATCACAGACTGGAGTCAGCTTACAGATCCAAGAACTCTTGAATGAATGGGAATCTGGGTATCCTTTAGGAAAGATCCTTCTTTTTTGTCAAAAATTTTTACAGTGAATCATTCCCCCAATCTTACCCAAGTGGAACTATAGCCTTTCACAAAGGCAAAAGTGCACTCTGTAGGATGAGGGTGAAATGGAAATAATAATCTTTTCAGATATTACTGGATATTGACTCTGAAGTGACAATGAGAGAAGTCTCAAAAAACATCATTGTGGTCTACCAGTAATAACAGGCGCTTATGGAGGCCAGGTGATCAATGAGGTTTTATTTTTATTTTTATTTTTTTTTACTTTTATTTAATGAATATAAATTTCCAAAGTACAGCTTATGGGTTACAATGGCTTTTCCCCCCATAACTTCCCTCCCACCCACAATCCTCCCATCTCCCACTCCCTCTCCCCTTCCATTCACATCAAGATTCATTTTCGATTCTCTTTATATACAGAAGATCAGTTTAGAATATATTAAGTAAAAATTTCAACAGTTTGCACCCACACAGAAACACAAAGTGAAAAATACTATTTGAGTACTAGTTATAGCATTAAATCACAATGTACAGCAAATTAAGGACAGAGATCCTACATGAGGAGTAAGTGCACAGTGACTCCTGTTGTTGACTTAACAAATTGACACTCTTGTTTATGGCATCAGTAATCACCCTAGGCTCTTGTCATGAGTTGCCAAGGCTATGGAAGCCTTTTGAGTTCACCAACTCTGATCATATTTAGACAAGGTCATAGTCAAAGTGGAAGTTCTCTCCTCCCTTCAGAGAAAGGTACCTCCTTTTTTAATGACCTGTTCTTTCCACTGGGATCTAACTCGTGGAAATCTTTCATTTAGGTCATTTTTTTTGACAGAGTGTCTTGGTTTTCCATGCCTGAAATACTCTCATGGGCTTTTCAGCCATATCCGAATGCCTTTAGGGCTGATTCTGAGGCCAGAGTGCTGTTCAGGACATCTGCCATTCTATGAGTCAGCTGTGTATCCCGCTTCCCACATTGGATGGTTCTCTCCCTTTTTTATTCTATCAGCTAGTATTTTCAGACACTAGTCTTGTTTATATGATCCCTTTGACTCTTAGTCTTATCATTATGATCAATTGTGAATAGAAATTGATCACTTGGACTAGTGAGATGGCATTGGTGCATGCCACCTTGATGGGATTGAATTGGAATCCCCTGGTATGTTTCTAACACTACCATTTGGGGCAAGTCAAATTGAGCATGTCCCAAATTGTACATCTCTTCCTTCTCTTATTCCCACTCTCATATTTAACAGGGATCACTTTTCAGTTAAGTTTCAACACTTAAGAATAATTGTGTATTAATTACAGAATTCAATCAATAGTATTAAGTAGAACAAACAAAAAAATACTAAAAGGGATAAAGTATTAAGTTGTTCATCAACAGTCAGGGCAAGGGCTGATCCAGTCACTGTTTCTCATAGTGTCCATTTCACTTTAACAAGTTTCCTTTTTGGTGCTCAGTTAGTTGTCACTGATCAGGGAGAACATAGGATATTTGTCCCTTTGGGACTGGCTTTTTTCACTCAGTATGATGTTTTCCAGATTCCTCCATTTTGTTGCAAATGACTGGATTTCATTGTTTTTTTTACTGCTGTATAGTATTCTATAGAGTACATGTCCCATAATTTCTTTATCCAGTCTTCTGTTGATGGGCATTTGGGTTAGTTCCATGTCTTAGCTATTGTGAATTGAGCTGCAATAAACATTAATGTGCAGACAACTTTTTTGTTTGCCAATTTAATTTCCTTTGGGTAAATTCCAAGGAGTGGGATGGCTGGGTCGAACGGCAGGGTTATCTTCAGGTTTCTGAGGAATCTCCAGACTGACTTCCATAGTGGCTTGACCAGTTTGCATTCCCACCAACAGTGGGTTAGTGTCCCTTTTTCCCCACATCCTCACCAGCATCTGTTGTTAGTAGATTTCTGTATGTGAGCCATTCTCACTGGGGTGAGGGGAAACCTCATTGTGGTTTTGATCAATGAGGTCTTAGCTCAGACACATCTTAAGGTGGATCCAGGCAATTCCCAAAGGTGCCCTATGGTTATTATGTTAGTTCTGGAAGCCATAATTGTAAGAGAGATCCTCAGCAATTGCAGAATCCTGGCATGGGTGCCATAATTGTGGAATATTGGCTATTTTGGTGAGAAAAATCAATTAGAAGCTGATAGAACTACCTCAACCTAAGATATTCTTAAGTCAAAAGCAAAACATTCCTGGTGGGATTGAAGATGATAATGCAATCATAAGAGACTTGAAAGATGCAGGGATGTTGATACCCCCTATATTCTCGTCCACCTTGCCTGCTTAGCCTAAGCATAAGAGAAATGGATCTTAGAGAATGACAATGGATTATCATAAGCATAATCATATGGTGACTCTATTTGCAGTTATTTTATGAGTTGGGGCTGCATTGCTTGAACAAATTAACACATCCCCTGGGCACCTGGTATACAGCTATTGACATTGCTTGTTTCTTTATACCTATTAAAGAAAACTAAAAGTAACAGTTTGATTTCAGTTGAGAAAACCAAAATTATATCTCCATTGATCTTCACTGTTTTATCTCAGGTATATATCTACTTTCCAGCCCTATGTCACAATTTATTGAATAGAGATAATGTTTGCCTTTCCCTCCAAAAGACATTACATGGGTCCATTACATTAATAATATTATGCTGATTGGACTTAGCAAGAAATAACAATTACTCAAGTTATTATTAAGATATTTGCATATCAGAAGATGACAAATCTGACAAAAATTATGTGACCTAGTTTAGTGAAATGTCTAAGGAATCATTGCTGCTAGTTATGTCAAAGTTTTCCACATTTAAGGATTAGTTGTTGCATCTTTCCCCTAACATGATAAAACAAAGTATAATGCCTAATGGGCTTCTTTGGGTTTTGTAGGCAACATACTACTCATTTTCATGTATTACTTTGGCCCCCTTACCATGTGATCCCCAAAAGGTGGGGTCCAGGGTAAAAGAAGTCTCTTCAATAGGTCCAGGGTATTGTTCAAGCAAGCGTATTAAGTAGAATATTTTACAAGATTTATTTGAAAGAGAGAATGTCAAAGAGACAGACAAAGAAAGATAGACATCTTCCATCTGCTGGTTCATTCTCCATATGGCCGCAACAACAAGGGCTGGTCCAGGCCAAAGCTAGGAGCCAAGAATTTCATCTGGGCCTCCACATAGCGGGCAGAGGCCCAAGCATTTGGGCCATCCTCCATCGCCTTTAAAAGATCATTAGCAAGGAGCCAGTTCGGTAGCAGAAAAGCTAGGGCATGTAGAGGCACTCCAATATGGGATGTCGGCATTGCAAGGGGTGACTTAACCCACTGTGCCACAACATCAACCCAAAGAGGTAGGATTCATGATAACTCGGCCCCACAGACAAATTGATGAGGTCATAAAAGGGCAAGTTTGGCCCCCTTCTTTATCTTGTCTTTTCACCTTCAGCCATTAAATGAAGCAGCAAGAAGGCCCTCACCAGATGCTGGCCTATAGATCATGGACTTCCCAGCCTCCATAATTATGAGCTAATAAATTTCCGTCCATTATAAAGTTACGCATTCTGTGATATTCTATTACAGCAGCACATAATAGGCTAAAATATTCACCAAGCAATAAATTTGGGCATGCATAACATCAAATGGAAATAGTATATCTGAGGCTTAGCCTGAGAGACCAGAAGGCAGATGTAAATTATATGAAATAGTATCCCAAGTGCTCTGTTCCCCACTTCAGCATTAATATCCTTTCTTTCTCAGTCTTCACCTATCCTCTCACAGAGAAATTCCCTACAGTCTGTTGACCTAGGAACAAATAATTCTGTACAATATGCAGATTCTACCCAACAGTTGATAGCTGTAGCAGTATAACTCCATTCTAGGACATTCATGCAGGCCAATTTTGAACGAAAATCTTAGTGGGGAGAACTTTGATCAGTGCACTTAATTGTTCATTTTGATTAAGAGGGGAAATACACAAATATAAGACTGTATCAATTCAAGGCTGTGGTCAATGGGTTGACTGTGTGTTCAGGGACATGAAATGATTGGAAAACTGATGATTAGGAGGTATGCATAAGAGGTAAGTGGATACACTTTTGTGAACAGGTGAAAAACATGAAGATACTTGCATCTCATGTGAATGCTCACCAAGGAATCCTCAGAGGAAAACTTTAATAATCAAAGATAGAGTGGCTCACTCAATGGAATTCAATGAAGTTTTTTTTCCCCATTCACCCAAGTCATTTATCACTGGGTACATTAACAAAATGCACTTGATATCACTTAATAAGTGTATGTATGGACTTTGTAATATAGACTTTCACTTACCAAGCCAACTTGGCCACAGTCGCTATTAGTGCCAAATATACCAACCATAGAAATCATTACTGAGTTCTTGATATGAAATCCATTTCCTATGGTGGTCAAGTTACTATATTGGACTGCATCTTCCATGGTAGGGACAGCATTTTGTTCTTACGGAATAGACATTCTGGATATAAAGTTGCTTTTCTGGCACACAATACTTTAGCCAAACCGTCATCTATGGATTTCAGAATGTATTATCCACTATATTGGAATTGAAAACAGCATTGCTTCTAAACAAAGAATATGCTTTATTGAAAATCAAGTGTCACAAAAATTCTGTGTTAATGAAATTGAATGATCTTACCATGTTCTAATTCCTGAAGCAGTTGGCTTGTTTGGATGGTGAAAGGTCTTTTATATAAAGACTGAGTTACAATGCCTGCTGGATGGCAGTACCTTGAAGGATTGGGACAAAGTTCCCCATGAGAACTTACTAAGGTAATTGATTCTGATTACCATAGGGAAATTGAACTATTGTTCCTCAATTAAGGAAAGTAAATGTATGTCTGTAGTTCAGATGAACCCTTTGAGTGTCTGAATATTATCCTCCTCTGTCATTAGAGTTAACAGAAAACTACAATATCTCAATCCAGGTAAGACTATTAATGACTCAATTCCTTTAAGCACAAAGTTTTGGGTCAATCATCCAAGTAAACATAAGCACCTAAGTTTCTTAATGAGGGAAAAGGGAATATACAATGGGTAGTGGAAGAAGGTAGTTGTATACCTGCTGATTGCATTGCACATACAGAAATTATGACTCTAATTGCTTTATTTCTTCCCAATTGTGTTATGAATGTGAATATATATTTTCTTCTTTGCCTTGTCCTCCTGTCATGTAATATTATGTATGCTATCTCTATGTTACATTTTGTATTTAAGTATTATTGAATTTACATCATATTTTAGTTAGAGGATATCAAGAAGAGTGATTATCTCCCAAGGACTATGCATCATCTTCTTGAAAAAGAGAGTGTTTATGGAGCCAGCACTGTGGTGTAGCGGGTAAAGCCACCGCCTGCAGTGCCGCCATCCCATATGGATGCGGGTTGAAGACCCGACTGCTCCACTTCCCATCCAGCTCTCTTCCATGGCCTGGGAATGCAGCAGAAGATGGCCCAAGTCCTTGGGCCCCTGCACCCACGTGGGAGACCTGGAAGAAGCTCCTGGCTCCTGGCCTTGGATTGGCACAGCTCCAGCCATTGCAGCCATTTGGGGGAGAGAACCAGCAGATGGAAGACCTCTCTCTCTCTCTCTTCTGCTCTCTCTCCCTCTCTCTCTCTGCCTCTCCTTCTCTCTCTGTGTAACTATGACTTTGAAGTAAAAAATAGATAAATCTTTTTAAAAAAAGAAAAACGAGAGTGTTTGTGGTTTTGGTTGTACACAAAGTAGTTTTTTCATGCTAGATGGATTTATGACTTATTTGGAAAAATAAGTATGATTTTAATACATATGTGTATGTGCCAAGTTGATCTCTGGTGGGTTTATGATGGTTAATTTTATGTATATATTTGGCTAGGCTATGGACTCAGGTCATTTGATCAACACTAATCTTGATGTTTCTATATTTTTCAATGGACATTAACATTTAAATCTAATGAATTTCAGTAAAGAATATCATCCCCCACAATATCAGTGGGCCTAATTCAACCACTTAAAAGCCTTAAGTGGTAAGTCTTTTGTAAGACAAACTTCTTCCTGGGAAGTGGGAAATTTGTCTTCAAATTGCCTTTGGACTTGAGCTACAAGATCACCTTCTATACTCCCGGCCTCCCCTGCAGATTTTTCTCTCCACAATCATATGAGCCAATTGCTAAATCTCTCTCTCTCTGACCCCACTACTCTCCTCTCTCCATTCTGCATCTCAATTTCTATTTGTCAATATATCAAGATATCAAGAGTGGGATATATTAGATTCTGTTTCTCTGGAAGACTTGTGGGGAGCAGCCCGGACTGGACTGAGTTACTGGAATTAAGACTTATTCTATGCATCTGCTCTCCCACAATATGGCGCTGGGAGAGAAGTAAACAGCTTCTGCACAGCTGCCTCCAGTTCAGCCAATAAACTGTAGGACTTGCTCCTGATTGGAGGAGAGCAGCGTACTCGGCGTGTGGGCAGCCGAGTTGGGATTGGCAGAGGAGGACTATAAAGGAGGAGAGAGACGGCATGCACCAGGAACATCTAAGGGGAACATCCGGATAACATCTGAGCAGCCTCCGAGAGAACTGGCCGGCGGTGTGCCGCTCCCCTGTGGAAGTGGGGAATGTGGCTAGGGGGAACTGCCCTTCCACGGAGGTGGAAGGGACAGTAGCCAACCCGGGAAGAACCAGCAGCAAACCCGGGGAGGGCCGAGCAGACGAAAGAACAGCGCAGGGTCTTGTGTCGTTCCTCCACGAAGAGGGGGAGCGACAAGACTCAGATATACACAGCCACTTTCATAAAAGACTGCACCATAGATCCCTTTTGGGGGATGTCTGGGGCAAAGATAAATAGTATAAAATTTTGATAGTTTACTGACATCCTTTATCCAGGAGATACAACTTTCTCTTCATTCAAGTTGTTTTGGTCTGTACTCTGATTCAAGTTGTGGTGGTGTGATCCTTCTATTATTCAAATTGCCATTCTGTTACTTGATCTAGAATTACTCTGCTTAAGCAGATACAGAAAGAATTTATTAGACTTCATATCTATTATATTTCTAGAAACTCCTTGATCAGCTATCCAATACCATATGCCTCTGAGAGTCATCTTATTCTGATTCCTACTTTGTATTTGCTGTCCATTACAGTAGTCATACTCACCTTGCCTTTGGAAATTATGTGCTGCAACCTGCTCATGCAAACTGGAGATCCAAAAACCCAATTGCATTTAGGCTTTCCAAATCAGTGGCAGCAGTTAAACCCTGTGTTTTCTTTTTAAAAATGTATTTATTTACTTATTTATTTATGAGAGAGAGAGAGAGAGAGAGAGAGACTAACTGCATTCATTGTTTCACTGCCCAAATGCCTGTAACAGCCAGGAACCAGGCCAGGCCACAGCCAGGAGCTGGAAACTAGTTCTAGGTCTGCCATATGGATGCCAGGAATTCAATTACTTGAATCATCAGTGCTGCCTCTCAGGGTCTGCATTAACAGGAAGACAGGATCAAAAGTCAAAGCTAGACATCAAACCCAGGTAATCCTATATGAGACATGGGCATCTGCACTGTCATCTTCACTGTTAGGCCAAATGCCTACTCCCAATCCTGTGCTTTCTGACTTACAGAGAGTGATTACTGAACTCTTCAAGGATGCTGGGACTGTACTCACAAACTTATTTCTCAATGTCATCATGAAGGTTATGTCCTCTGGAGCTTCTTGAGGTGGAAAGCCAGGTATTAAATAATCCACTCTAACACTTTTTGCCCTAAGTCTCTGGATTCCTTCCTGCACAGTATACCAGCCAAGACACGTCTATAATTTGACTATTACTAGTGTAGCCTACTTTTTGTCTATGTCTTAAACAAACTGTCAGAGCCCTTTCTAACCCCCAGAGCTTCAACATTAAACCCAGAGGTTCTGCTTAGTGAGCCCATATCAATAAATTTGGCTTATCAAGCCATATGTTACTTACATCATTATCCTACATCCTTAATACCCACTCTCACAAATGTTCCCTAAATCAATGCTCATATAAATCAGAAAAATCATGTAGTTCACATGTAGCACACCTCCTCATGAATCACAATTTGCACCTCATATTTAAGGCTGGGCTGTGACTTGATTCTCATCTTAGGTTTAATAAACAAAAAGGGAGTGATAAGTGTGGATCTGGAGGACAATCATCAATCTCTGCAAAGTAATTACTTCTGAGAAGTCCACTTGGATTCCTTCAGCAAAACTGGTTTAATTTCAGACAGAGATGGAACATCTGCTTCTACTGGCAACGAAGACTCATCAGAATTTAGGAATTCACTGTCCCCAGTTTCATCAGTGTCTTCCCATTTGTTTCCACTATAATTTTCAGTACCCTGCTCTTTCCCAACCAGTGCCTACATTTGAAAAATATAGACCATGCTAGGTTATGAATTCAATTTGAGTTGGAATTCATATGCTCACAGTGTGAAATACTGGGTTTGAATTTTTAGCAACCTCAGCTCTGAAGTTACAGAAGATCATTTTTTTTTTCAGAGAAGATTAAGAAACTTTCAAATTATTTATGCACTACATGAGCTGGAAACTTTTTTTTTTTTGACAGGCAGAGTGGACAGTGAGAGAGACAGAGAGAAAGGTCTTCCTTTGCCGTTGGATCACCCCACAATGGTCGCTGCGGCCGGTGCACTACGCTGATCCGAAGCCGGGAGCCAGGAGCCAGGTGCTTCCTCCTGGTCTCCCACTTGGGCCATCCTCCACTGCACTCCCGGGCCACAGCAGAGAGCTGGCCTGGAAGAGGAGCAACCGGGATAGAATCTGGTGCCCCAACCGGGACTAGAACCCGGTGTGCTGGCACCACAGGAAGAGGATTAGCCTATTGAGCCACAGCACCAGCCTGAGCTGGGAACTGAATTCCTTGAGCTCATACCTTTCTTTATGCACTTTGTGCAGCTCAATTAAGAACAATTAGCCAATCTCATTATAATTGTTAGTTGGACAAAATATTTTAAGGTTATCATACATACATCTTTACTCAGGACCTTGTTTATTATATATTTGTTTAGGACTAACCAATGGTACAATATATGTCTCTATTGCCATATCACATCTTGGACCATCGATGTTCTCTATACTACTGGAAATACAGTAATTAATGCACTTAAAGCAAATTAAATTAGGGAATCAATACCAGAATCCCCAGAACCAAACACAAAAACTCATCCTATGACTCTGTACCTCTAAAACTACTATTGGTACTAGAATCAGTGTGTTCCAGAGAAGGAGAACTAACAAGACACACACACACATACACATTGAGTGGGTATTTTAAAAAATTCATAGTAAATAGAATTAAAATATAACTTAATTTTAGAGTAAAAACTTGAAATACATGTGGACAAGGAGGTTAAAAATTTCTTAAAAATGCATATTATGAAACAACTATGCATGGATTT